GGTACGTTATGAATTTATCCCGAAAAAAAAGTAAGAACTTGACCTTCGAGCTAGCCCATTAGCTTGTAGGCTAGCCCAATATCACGCGGGCCTTCAATTAAAGGTACAAACCGAAGGTTGCCCACTCCGTGTAAAATGGGGTTCCTCCCGTCTGAGGATGAACTGACTGGCCCTCTCATTTGTTGCAGAGTAAAATCTTTGGGCCGATGGCTTGCGTCCACTTGAACGCGGTGGCTCATCCTCTCCGCCCATTCCTCCGCCGGCAAACATCGCTTCAACACTCAGGTCAATTCTGCCGTCTCCTCACCTCCACGGGCCTCAATACCTTACCCCCCAATCGCCATGAACGTCCGGTTCAGCCGGTTTTTGCGCAGCCTCGACGAAGTTTCTCTTCAAAGGCGAAAGAAGCAGCAGTAGCATCTCGTAAGTGAAGTCTCATGTTCAAGACTGATTATTTTGCTTTCAATAACAGCTAAACTACATGGGAAATCGTAAAATAGAGACTCATGGATGCTCTTTTCTTTGCTCGGTTTTGTGGTTTTGTGATGATATGTAGCTGCTGATTTGCTATTCAAGTCGCCATTAAAAATAGTGGAGTATCCTGACCCTATATTGAGAGCCAAGAACAAACGAGTTAACACGTTTGATGAGAGCTTGAAAAACCTTGTGGCGGAGATGTTTGATGTAATGTACAGGTGATTGATTCTCTGCCTTTTCTATCAGAAATAGGGTAGTGTACATTTTGTGTGTGAGATGATTTGTCCCTAGAGGCTTGAACTCAATTTTGGCTTGTAACTTGTAAGTTATTAAGTTTCTGAAACCCTGCATCTTGTGATCATTCAGCACTAAGGGCTCAAATTTTGTTTTTGCTGAGCGTCATATTAGCCTATTTGGTGGATGCTCTGAATATATTTTAGGTTGCTGCAGGTACATTTATCTATAGAAGTATAGTTTGTGCATCATATTGTGTGAGAAAGGGTGGAAAAGGAGTTCTGCAACATCATTGGAGAGCTCGATTTACCATCCACATCTGCTGTTATGTTGTTTNACGTTCTCCCCAAAGTTATTTGTAATTGCCTCAATTTGGAATTGCTTTTTATCAAACTCGTCGAGTCATTCGAGTCCGCCCTGGATTGCGAAAAATAGCAAACCTGGTTTTTTTTGTTTTCCACTTTTTCTTTTCCTTATTGCAAATTCTTTTTAACTACAGGGATGTGATCAAATACTTGTTGGCTTCCTTTTGCACAGAACGGATGGCGTTGGGCTCTCGGCACCCCAAGTTGGAATTAACGTCGAGCTAATGGTCTTCAATCCAGTCGGTGAACGTGGTGAAGGAGAGGAGATTGTTCTTGTAAATCCACAAATCAAGAGATTTTCCAGAAAGATTGTGCCTTTTGACGAGGGCTGTTTATCCTTCCCTGGAATTTACGCTGATGTTGAGGTGCTTCATAAAATTCATTTGCTTCTAATATTCATAAATTTACTGCTTGGTTTGAATGTTTTATATATATGTGTTTGTGTGTGTCCGGCAAAACTTGTACTATTTGTTATGAGTGAAATACAATTCCTCCAATTTAATACGTACGAAATTAAAGTTTAACCAAGACATTTAGGAAGCCTTGTCCAGCTTGAGGGTGATCTTCATTACTGATTAACAATTGTTTCCTTTTCTCTACTTTGTAGAGACCAGATGCATTGCAAGTGGCTGCACAGGATATAACTGGTGGAAGGTTTGAAGTTAACTTGACCGGGCTTCATGCACGGGTGTTTCAACACGAATATGATCATCTGCAGGTTATCATTCGGATTAGAACTTTTTTTGTTACCAAAAAGCAAAAGCTTGTAATACTATTGGCTAACATATTGGATTTACAACGTTGACATATTGTAGATTACTATTTATTAATCTTGAGAAGCCTACTAAAGTAATGGCATCAACTTCGCATTTAATGCGTTATGATTCATAATGTTCAAAATTATAGGGCTGCATTTGCTAATTTGGTTTTAAATGGTAGTAATTAAAATGTTTTATGGTTTCCTACAATAACTCCCCTTTAGTTAAGTCTAATAGAATGTTTCCATCTTATATTATGCCGTTGATATTTGTTCATCTTCTTACAAATTGCATCATTGTATGGGCTAGTGTGTATTTGTTAGGTAAATAAACTGGTGTTTCTAACACTTTAAAATGAGGTGTTTCTACTTAAGAATATGACTTTGATTGTTTGTTTATTTGTTTATATATTAGGGTAATCCGAAGCATTGTCTCAATATTTCATAATATATTAAGCTAAGTTTGTTCTTATAGGAGGTTCAGCTCAAATGCTTTCTTCAATTCTTATTCGCCTAGTTAATATTGCAGGGAATTTTGTTTTTTGACCGAATGAGTGATGAAGTCCTCGAAACTGTTCGTGCAGAGTTAGAGGCAAGTCATCATTACATTTGGCACATTTGGAAATAGTAAAATTAGTTATCTTAAATACACAAAGGCTTAAGTAGATTGCTCAAATATTCCTCCTCAACAGGCCTTGGAAAAGAAATATGAGGAGAAAACTGGATTGCCAAGTCCTGAAAGAATTGACAAGCGAAGAAGAAAGAAGAAAGCTGTTGGGTTTGGAAAACCATGATTTTACATATGTATACTATCCCATACTCAAATTTGAATAGCAGTCAACTGGTTTAGACTTCCAACACAGATTAGAGGCTGGAAATCAATCCCTTCCAGTCTTTCCCTGAACCGTTGCATGTATAAATTTTTCATTTTCCTTTTTGATGAACTATCAATTTTGCAAATGTGTTGGTCTTAATGGTTGTCATTCCATCGTTAATTTTATGAGAACTCTGTAATGATACATGTGGTGCTTAATTTTGGTGTCATGATTGATACTTTAAGGTGTTTTATTTATTGTATGCACTTTTATGGATCCACAATTGATGAATTGATTCAAGAAGACTTGGATCAAAACAGGGTTGGCGTAGTCCGTGCGCCTAAATTGGAGGTGTGGAGGAGAGGCTCCACGCCTCGTAGAAATGCTTGTGTTATTTTTTGTGGCCTAAATGATGTGTGGATGTCCTAAGAAAAATTTCTTCACGGGCTCGGTTCACCGGCCCATCTCCTTAATACCAATTAGAGGCCCATTGTACTTTTTTGTTGCCGACAAAATCAATCCCTGTGTTCTGCCGTTACCGTGTACCTTCTTAAAACCCAAATCAATCCCTATTTCTGTTGTTACCGTGTTCCTTCTTAAAACCATTTGTGAGGTAATTTTGAAAATTGATATCGTTTCTATCTCATATCTCTCGGTCTTCTATTCCAAACTTTTCTCAACTGTTTTTTTTTTCTTTTTTCTTTTTTTGAGCTTTTCAAAACTCAAAGGTCTTGCTCTGTTGTGCGAAGAATTAAAACAAAAGTGTTGTGTATGCATTTTGTGTGTGTGTGTGTGCGCATTTTGTGATTTGGGGTGACCGTGGATCGTATGGTCATGGTTCGAAACTAGATTCTTTGTGATTCTCGGAGGTATAATTATATATGGCATGAGCCTCAAATTCGCTCAACAAGTTTCGATCACGATTACGGTGATCTCATTCGTTTCCTCTTGTATTTAAATTTTCGGTTTGTTTTCTTTTGCCGCAAGAATACTCGTTCGTTTGCTCTTTCGTTGCATGTGCTCGTTTGTTCAGGCTTATTTCTTGCTGTTTGGACTCGTTTAGTAGCTGTTCATGATCGTAAATTGTTGTCCGGGGTTGCTATTGTTGCTTGAGTGTTGTTCGGGACTCTTATTCCCTGCTGTTCGGGACCTAACGAATGTTGTTCGGGCCTACTTCGTTGGCTATAAATTGGTCCGGGATGCGTGTTAACTCTGAAGATTGACTCCACTTCAAGTAGAGCTTCGACAGGCAGATACCCAATAGTGGTATCAGAGCCTAGTTCCCGCCCATCCGTCACTCCGCCCTACACATTGGTAAGACCAGCACCTAAGAATAGGGCTCGCTCTAGTAAAGTGGGTTGACAATGTCGGGGATAGTGGTTAAATGTAGTCCTTTCCCGAGAATTATTTGTTGGGAACGTACTGGTAGAATTTAGGATCTTTGTGATTTATGTGATTTATCGCTTTTGATGGAAAATCTGATTAAAAATGAAAGGTATTCGTGTTTAACAAAAAGTGTTTAAAGCTATTAATCTTTCTTATTCTGCGAATGTGACGGCCAAGAAAAGGCCGAAATTGAGGAGTTTGCTTATTCTTTGATTATTCTGAATTTATCTAACTATGTGCTAAGAAAAGTTAGTAAACTAGACTACTACAGAACTACGGGAAAATTGGATGAACGTTACACTAGGGCTGGCATTTTTTTACTAAATACCGAAATCAAACCGAATCGAACCGACGTGAAAATAAATCAAAACGTTACGACTCATTTATAGTGGTAACCGATTATCGATTACCAACTTGCTAACAGTTTGGTACAGTTCTGAAACCATAATGGTTCGGTTTTACTGAACTGAATCGATTAGGAATAGAAAAAAAGCTTAGTAGCCTTACAATTACTTGTTTAGTACTTTAATTTAGTGTTTAATATTTTATTAGACTATTAATTAATTGTTATTAGTATTCCTTGCACAATTAAAATTTTATATTAGGCTCATTTTTTTTAATTATGTGAATTAACACCGATCCTCACTCTTCAATCCAACAAGGAAGAAAGAAAGCAGATAGCCCCTCAGTTGTAGTTTGCGAAGCCACAACCACTCCTCAACCCTAGCTACTAAAATCGATAGGGAACCTGACTTACTATGACGATGTCCAGCAGTTTGACACCCCAAGAATCGAGCAGATAATGGACTAGATAGGCGGGTTTGATTTGGTCGTAGGTGGCAGCCCCTGTAATAATCTTTCCGGAAGTAATAGGGTGAGTCGAGACGGGTTGGAAGGCAAGGAGTCTTCGCTGTTTTACGACTACTTCCGGATATAGGATATTGTTAGGGAACATAGTCGGCATTCTCAGCAAATGTAAACTTTGATGGGCAGGGAGTCATTTTGGTGACCTTTGATCATTTGTGTAGGTTTCTTTATTGACCCTGTTAACAATTCATTGGTTTCAAAACTCTATTATTTGTTGGGCCTGGTGGATGTTAGTATGGAAGCTGTTTATTTATTGTTAATTTTTTTAATTTTTTAATTTTTTTTAATTTTTTATTTTTTGTAAGAAGAAGATGCATTATTCATTCTCCATTTTTAGCTTGGTTTGGTTTCTTGGTCCTTGGCAAGGAACAAACAACATGTATAACGGTGACAGAGTTTGAAGTATTAGTGACAGAGTTTGAAGTATTTGTGTGATTTTGATCATTTATGTTTTTTATGGCCATATTAGTAAGTGATTAAGTGTAGTTGGCCTTTTTTTATTTTATTTTTTTACGTTATTTTTCTCCTTTTGGCTGTTGGATATTTAGTAGGTAAACAGTTGTACAAGATATCTTCTTTGTTTTATGGATATGGTGGATTGTTAGGGACCAAAGCCGGTCGATGTAAACATTAATGAACGGCCAGTTCACTTTGTTGTTTTTTATTAAAAAAAATTAGGTCTCTTGCTGAGCCTATTAATAAATTCATTAGTAGCAGACTTGCATGCAATTTACTCATCATTTGTTTTTCTGGTGGTGATAGTATTCTATTATTTGTTTCCTTGCAATTTACTATATTATGTGTTTTTCTGGTAATGATAGTACTATATTATTTGTTTTCCTAGCGATGATAGTATGGAATCTGTAAACAGTTTCTTTACCTTTACTTGTTTGAAAGAAATAATGCATCATTCATTCTCCTCCACCTTGGGCTTGGTTTAACCTTTATTGAGTAACAATTCTGTCGCCTGAGAGTTTGATTCCATCGTGTGAGGGTATTCCGTCTTAGTCACTGTTTCCCGGATGTTAGGGCTTCAGTTCTATCTTGGAGGCGAGCTTTAGCTCTTGAGGTCTTCTTATGTTGGTTTTTTTAGTGTTGTGCTTGCAGCTCAGGATGGCCAACATCGACTGGAGCTACTAGATCAAAAGGAATTGAGAAAGAAGTGAAAAAAAGATTGAGAGCTTCTCGTTATCAGAGAAGGAAATTACAGAGATTGAAATCGACTCAAGAGGATATCAAATCTAGCGAGCAAGAGTGTGGCATGAGTTTATTTGGCAAAATTGTAGGAGACAGGAAGGCAAGCTTGGTGGGAGTGAAAAGAACTATGGGGTTGATTTTGCAGATTCAACAACATGTGGAGGTAAAATAACTTGGGTCAAATTATTTTCAGTTCATATTTGATAATAAAGGGGATATGAAAAAGGATGGTGCTGTGAAAAATTGGATTTTTCAAAAAATCAGTACTTGGTCCTTCATGAATCGAAAGATGGGTTAAATGAGAAGCATCCCTGCTTTGATGAACTGATTATCTGGGTCCATGTGTTTAATGTGCCTCTTCTAAACTAGCTCTGTGCGGATGTTGGACTCAAACTAGGGAAGGTTTTCAAAGGAACTAAAAATGTGACAATTGTCAAGACGGGGAATACTAAAAGGTGTGAATTTGAATGAAGCTTTCCCCAGGTGTGCCAGCATTAGATTAGGAGAGTAAAAGGTAATGTTCAGTTTCAAATATGAAAAACATGTAAACTTATGTTACTATTGTGGCAAAGTGGGCCATATAGATAAATTCTATAAGAAGAGGTCGGAGGATATTGCTAGTCATAACCTCCCGGAAGGCTAGTATGGGGAGTGGCTCAAACAGTAGAGAGACACCTAGGTGTGAGAGCTAGCCAGAACAGTAATCCTTGAAAACTTGCGTGTGTGTTTTGGAATAGTAGCAGCTTCGGAGGCCCTCTAGAAGTAGGGGAGGCTGTATTTTACCTTTTTAGGTGTGTGTGTGTGTGCTGTTTTTATCTTCTGTTTGTGTTTTTGGTTGGTTCTGGTTGTACCCGAGTTTTCGTCTCCTGTGTTAAGAGTTTGTTGTTTTCTGTTTTGGAAGTGTTTCGGTTGTGAGGCTTTTCCCTTGGCTATCTTTGTAAGTCCAAGGGAATTTTGATCCAGGCTAGTCCTTGTCTTTGTGATGTCTGTTGACATTCCGGTTGTCCCCGTTATTTTGAGTTATATATAATTTATTGTTTGACAAAATAAAAAATTCAAATAATAAATATTTTTAAAATTTAATAAAAAAAATTATCTCTTATCGGTTATTTATATATCGCATATCAAATTAACCATTTTTTGAGGATTCGATTTGTATATTTCATATATAAAAGTATTCATGCCTACCCTTATAAATAAAAAATAAATTATCTAATATATTCTAATTGAAAAACATTAAAATTATTTATTATTATTATATTTATCTATCAAGTCTATAATAAGAGATACAAAATAAATAAAAAATATTTAAAAATTTTAATAAAAACTTCTATTTATTTAATTGTATATATATTTCAACATAGTAAAAAATGTAAAAATTATTTGACAAGACAAAGTATTTAGATCTGTATGCAACTGTGATTGTTGGCTGTGTGAATTTCTTTCAATTTCAGTTGGGTGACAATTTGATTGCGAATAATTTAATATATGATTGGCGATTTACCATTGCAGTTCGCGATAAAATTTATATTTAATGTTTGATTGGTTAACTATGACTGGAAACAACTAAAAACTATGTTAGGAGAATATATTTAAGTTTTATTATATATAAATTTCATTTGTTTTTAAAATGTTTAATTATGTTCTTTATTATTTATAATAAAATAGAATTTCATTTTATATGCTAAATTTTTAGATTAAAAAACTTAATACTATTACCTTAACTATCTGAATAGAAAAAAGGTAGAAATCTAAAACATCAAATGGTAGTTGTGTTGTTTTACAAAGTATCTTCATCGTGAACATAATATTATATACTTATAATAGTGTAGGAAAAAT